ATTTGCAAAAAGCTCCACTCCAAGAGCCACCAAAAACGAATGCACAACACCAACAGAATATTGCCAGTAGGGGATCTACGAAGATAATCTATTAAGCACATTTTCAGTGGGTGGGTGCTTCAGTTCATTGGTAAAGGCCGCATTCTCACTTTCAAACTGGCAAAAGACGTTTGCTGCCGTGTTCGCAAGAGGTTTGAAATGCCCTTTGCTAAAAATGGGTTACAGAGGAGGTGAAGCGGATGCATTACCTTCTCAAGGCAGCCCGTAAGCGCAGAAATTGGAAAGCCCATAGCCAAAGTTGCCCCTGCCATGTCTATGATGGACTGTTTGGACACAGTCCCAATGTTTGGTGACGAACATTGGGAGGAGCAGCTGTTGTTGATTTGCAGAACCATGTTTGACAGTGAAACATGTTTAGCATACTTGATACTTATGTTCCCAGTGCTAGGAAATATTTTTCATTTGGAACATTGACAACCATCCATTATATCCTTACATCCTCCAGACCCATGAGTGCAGCCCAACGGCAGGATGTCAATGCTGAGACTTCCGTGCAGGATCCTGGGAGGGAGGCCGCTGCAGTGAAGCCTATGGGATCACCCATTAAGCTGCCTCCATGCGCTTTATCCCCAATGTCTCCATTGCCTGAAACTAAGCTCAACTTTTTTGGGTGAAGCAATAACTTATAACACCACTTGTTCCATCTCATGCCATCTCTACTGGCAGTATTTGACAGTTTCTTTTGTCATTCTTCTGAGGAAATTTCGCCGTGCTACCCGAAAACGAAGCGCAATTGGAAGCTTAGTACACCCTATCGGCCTCGTGAAAACGAAGATGTTGAGGAGGCTTCTCTCAAACAATTAAAAGTTTGAGTTGCCTGAAAAACAGCGTATACACTGGAACCTTTTTTGTTTGTTTTGATGGACTTAAACTCATTACCCGGTCAATGCTAGGAGGCTGTGCCCAAGCAGTTGAACTTTGACGCGGAAGACCCTCTTGCACACTGTGCATGAAACCAAACCACCTTTTTTTTTTTGGCTATATAAGTCTTTCCTTTTGCATATATGCAAATCTATACCTATGAGAATATATGAGATATACATCACATTAGATAAAGAGATAAGAGATCCATCAAGATCTTTATATCGATAATTCATTTTAGATTTGTATTTATATCGACCTAAAAGTAAATAAAATAAATATATATATATATATACAAAATGACTTTGAATCACGGGAGTGAAGGAATCGGAATGGATGAGTACTGACAATGTGGATACATGGGGAAGGTAGGTAGGCAGGCAGGCAGTCAGGTATATGTAGGTAGGTAGGTAGGTACGTAGGTAGATAAACAATGCCCTGATATAGCCTGCAAACAACAAGAGCCAAGGTCGCTGAGTTTTCGGAGGATCCTCTGGCAGACTTGGGAGATGACTTTTGGGATGAAAGTTCCTCGTTCCCAAAGTGGGCATTGAATTGGAATTCAATTTCATGTCAGCTGTCGAAGATTATCGAGTCAAGAACTGATTTTTGATCAGCTCAGATTGGTGGGCATGGTTTTCGGATGCCGTTGATGGGGCCCCCAGTTCTGCAAATGCTCCAGGAGCCTTGCTAGCAAATATATTGAGTTATTTCCAGTGGTTAGGTAGCACGTGTGAAAACTATGAACTTCATCCGTTGCGGTTGGAACTGCAGCCCGGCACCCTCAACCAAGGAGCATCGCTTGAAAGGGCCGTTCCCATTGACAGCCACGTTGATGATGGCTCTTCCTTGGCTGATGGTGAAGGGTGTTGGGATGATGAGTCAGTCGATCTTGACTGGGATAAGCGCCGGGTTTCTGATGCTGATGTCGCAAAGTGCGCTTCATATGAACTTGATGGTGAACCCTGCGCCTAGTCTATTTTGTTTCAACAAATGTTGGCATTCAAAATTCAAAAGCATAATTTTCCAGATGCAAAACTGATTGTTATCGGTGTTTCAGGGATGCTGTCTGAAAACCATGTTTGTTTTGAGAATGGTTTGTCTGATGTCCATCCATTCTTTCCAGCATTCTTGCAGCTGCTTATCTGCGTTATCTGAGGGGAAGCTGCTGGTGACAAGCCAGCCACGGAACCCACAGAGGAGGATTTCGAAGCAGGGTCGGCCTACTTTGACCAATGGTGTCTGCACTATTGTGCCCCAACTCAAGAAGAACATGTTCCTGATTTCAAAAAAAATGTTTCAGTGAAAACGCGTGTGAATGTATCTGTCCATTTTGTTTGATCCAAGGGGATGTGCTCAAGCCCCTCATGCCTGAATGGGATCACACCGACAATGTTGGGTCAGCCCAAAAGCAAGTGGAGTTTGCGTGGAATGTCTTCATGGCCAGTGAAGGACTTTCCTGAAGGTTTTATAACTGACTTGATGTTGCATTGTTGTGGCGTTAACCGGGAAACTAGATAACATTCATAAACAACAGTAAAAAAAACATCCAAGAGCATTCCATCAATTAGGCGACTGCCAGGATTCAACATCATCGCTGGTAGTCTTCCCTAATTAAGTCAATCAACTGCAGCAAAGGGTCGAGCATACATCCATGCAGCCACAACGCACCAGGATTTCCAGGATTTGAGACTGATATCAAGCTCGACAAGGCCAGTCTTTCCACCTGGGCATCAGAGGGCATGGTTCAAACTCGATCATGTAGAGTTTCAACTTTCACAACTGGGCTAGGCAGACGAGGCTGTGTTTTTGAAAGCTCCGACGTTGCCGCTTGATTTCTGGGAGGCCGAGTATTGACTTGATTCCAATTGATGATAATTGATGGTTCATACATACGATTCATTTCGATTTGAATTACGACCTTGAACATTTTGTGTGGGAACTGCCAGGCGCAAAAGGCCCTCAATCATGAGCCTATCCCTGAAGAGATGCCTTGGCCTCCCACTGTTGCAGTGGAGGCGCTGTGTTGTGTCATCAAGGGTTGGTTCATGTGCATGCAACACCTTCCCAGCGATTTTTCTTACACTGATACCTTTGATATTTGAGGATTCATGCCTATACCACTGTAGGAGCCACCTCTTGTCACACCGGAGCCGAAGAATGGGGAGTCTAAGTATGAAGTGGTCACACCGTTTGCGGAGACCCAACTAGCCGCAGCCAAGCGTGCAGAAATCCAAGCCAAACATGCACAGGAAACTTGACCATACTAACTTCCACTGCAAATACAAAGGATTTTGTTGTTCAAGTCAATTTAGCCCTCTACGTCTATTTGATTCTTTCCAAGTCATTTTCACATGTCTGATTTAGCTTAGGACAAAACGGATGCCAAGGACAACACTGTGAAGCCTACCTCGAAGGGGAAGAAACCACCCGCCAAGTCTAAGCCCTGTGAGAAGAAGAAGGCAAAGGAATCCAAGGACAAATCCAAATCCAAGAAGGAGCCGAAGAAGCCTAAGGGTAAGTCCAGGTCTGGTGGATCAAAGCCGCAAAAGTCTGCGGGATCCACCAACACCACTCCTTATGGGGAAGCCAAAACGAAGTTTGCAGCAGAGCACCTGCCTTATTTACTTCACTTGTCGTTTTTTGTTGATGTCTAAGGGTAACCATACCTATCCCGGTGTCGTAGCTTTCCGATCCATCCACCAGCCCAACGATTTGTAGCCAAGGTGCAGAGAGATCGAACCGGGGATCAAGATGCGAGCCATCGAGACTCTGCGGAAAGAATGTCCTTAGCGAGCTGCCATCTTGGCAGGAATGTCCGAGGCGGAGATGAAGAGACGGCGTTACAAGTAGAGATCACCTGTGGTCGCTGGTTTAATTTCAAATGTAAATCTTCAAGAATCTTAGAAATTTTAGAAATGTTTCTAAGACTTCACCAAAGCATGAGGGTTGCTGATTTCCCATTTGCAGCCACACGTGATACAAAGGGCTCCCAAAAACTTGAGCTTCCTTTTTTGAGATGGGGTTTTTACTTCAACAAAAAGTTGAAGTATGTAGCCCTTTGTTTGGCTTAGGTTCGCCAGACTCAGATGATGCAATCTTTAGGTCTTTTCACGTGTGATCTCCACACGTGTCTGCTTGTTCCAAATTGGAAATGGCTGGCTATGATGAAGCCTACGGCCGTTAAATTGATGGGATCCTTTGAGAGCATTTGAAAAATCACTTGTGCAAACCATTGCAATGTTTAATAATCGATATGCTGAGTCCAGCAACAGTTGAAAGAAGTTATTGTTTTTTTAGTGATGGTATGTGTTGATTCTTGTTGGGCTTCAGGTGCCACAATAAAGAAACCTCAACATATTTCTTTGCAGAACCGTCGTCAGTGGTGTAGGGGTTCCGTATTGATCCAAATGGGGATGCCGGAATGACAAGGAGAGACAAAAACAACAAACATCGATACCCCTGTCTGTTCCCAGGGTCCTCCACAACTGGTTCAAGTGGACCGGCAACATATATTCAATGCCATGCTGTGCCATTCCTGAGTTGGATCAAGAGTGCTTGGGGGAGGGCACTATTCTTCCACGAATCCCTTGGGCCATGAAGTTTAGTGCCATTGCAGCTGTGCTGACCATCTTGCTCAACAGTTCCTAGTCGTACAAAAACCACTTGAGATACTGCTTCATGGGTGAATATAACGCATTGTAATTTTGCACCTGCATTCTTAGATCCCACATGGGGTGCTTATGTGAGGTTTTGGGCAACCGAGTGAAGAGGAGAAGCTGCACTTCTTAGAGCTCTGAGCAGGATCCCACCGTTTGGCAGACACTGCTTTGGAATATGGGTACAATGCCTTGGCTATGGATGTGACTAAGTTGAACATGGTTTCTACTTCACTTGGTCTTTGGGTGACATGTTGAATTAAGCGGCTATGGGGGTTCAATCCAAACATCGAGGGTAGATACTGGTAGGTGTTCCCTGTGAGTCTTTACCATCTCAGGTTCACTTTAGTCGCCATCAAAATCTATTGACTGCAGTCGGCTTCCTACTGGCGTTCCAAGCCTGCCGCAAGCTCGTTCGAGGGGCTTTTGTTTGGGTGGGCGTGCCCTGCTCATCATTCATATGGATGTCCCGTGGTACCACCCGAAGATGCCGGCTCCGTCCAAAGGGTGCAAAAAAATACCAGAAGGTTCGTCAGATGAACAGGTTGGTTCGCAGAATCACATATCTGTTACTAAGCTCAGTTATAGTCAGTAGTGCACATGTTTTGTTAACAGTGAACAGATGTGATAAATGTTGATCTTACTATATCTTCTCTCTGAATTGGGGCATCCAAACATTTCCAGACCGGCTGGCATGCAGCTCAGGCTCGAATACCTCCGCAAAAAGAATGTGACCTGGGCAGTGGAACAGCCATCAAGTTCCTTGTTGCCATTGTACAAGCCCATTAAGGCAGGGTTTGGTGTATAATAGTCCGATGAAGCAAACTAAGTTTTCCATTTCAACAAGTGACCTGGGACTCGCTTAGAAGGGCAAAAAAAGACTGCCCAGGTCACTTGTTGAAGTGGCAACCAAAAGGTTTCTGGTATTCCATGCAGGAGATGATCAAACGGCACAAAGCAGTTTTCTACAACTTCCCCATGGGAATGCGTGGAGCAAATTCAGAGACACCATGATGCATTAAATATGCATGGGGGTCTTCATCTTTTCCAAGAATGGTGATATCTCAAAATAATAGCCTTTTTTTGAATTTGAGGCATTTCCAAAAGAGTGTAAAATGGACTTGAGCGGAGAGAAAGGTTCTCCACACCGTTCTGATTTAAAAACACATTTCTGAAGCTCGCCGTTGGTTTGCTAAATGTTTGTTCTTGGGAATGTAGGTTCAATGGGATCCCATGTGCTTGGCCCAGGAAGCCAACTATGGTCATAACGAATGCCCCTTGGATGGTTGACCTGCCTTGCCCTCGAATGACCGCAGAGAAAAGGTTCGCCCGGCTATATAGTCCAAACATGTCCAAACTGATAGGTTTCTAACATTTTCTGCAATGATTTTGGTGGATTGGGGCCGCATATGTCATGTCAATCCATTTCCAATTCATTTCCACCCCCGATCCTGGACAGGGAAACACTGATGCAGCTGCAGTCCATGAAAACCATTCGGATGGTGAAGAAATATCGTGATTCGAAGGGCCAGTTCAAAGTAGCCTGCGTCTTAGAATAGAAGCTTATGTTGATGTAGTGCTGTAGTTGTACAGACCCTTTCAGATTTTGACTAACCCCATTGCCTAGGCAGGAGACCGAGACTTGACGTCATCACAGGTTTACCCATGGCAATTCTCATATAATGCGACTTATCTGAAAGATTTTCTTGAATCCCGGAATTTTCTGAAAACAGTTGACAGTTGTGGGTTTCCTCAGGCTCTTCAATTTTGAATGTCAATCCTTGCCCCTTTTACGCCAAGCGTCAATTGCCCAGGTAATGAGCCTCTTTGACTTGCACATGCAGGACCAGAGGATGAACTTTCCTGATGTCATCACCAGTGACATCGGGCTTACTTTTGCTGATACGGACCCCTGCTCATCCGATTCAGAGCTGGGGGATATCATAGGGTTTGACTCTGAGGATGGTGATGCTGGAGAGGATTAATCAAACCTTCTAGTGTTCAAATGCGCTCAGATGTTGTTATCTGATTTTGTATGACAGTATGATATATATATATATACATTTAAATAATATATATATAGTACTGATTTCATGGCACCACAGATCCTCGGCACATGGCATGACATGCCAATTTGCGATACTTTTAAGTGACTGAGCTTGGGAGGAAAATTGCTTATGCTCTGTGAAACCCTTTGGATTCTTTTTTACATTGCAAGGGTATATCCACCACCAACCGCTTGGAGGCGTCATGCCGAGCAGCAGTGGCTCCTCGAGCTCTGAATCTCCAGATTCCGAGTTGCCTACAAAGCGTGCAAGGCGTGCACGCCCATTGGGGGGCAAATCTTACTGGGGGAGTAGTGAAATAGACCACCAACCAGTGTTGGATATCTTTGAGGATGGCTATATGATAAAGGACACCCAATTTGATAACAGATACTTTGCCCATTATCGGTGATTCAACATATCAGGTTTTACATTCTACATACTGATCTGTTTCAACGTCCATGGCATGCATGTGCACAGAAAGACACACATATAGATATAGATAGATAATTCATATGTCTATATTATATATATATACTGCAAGGGTCCATCATATTGAAGCTTCAAGTGTGACCGTTTTTGGGGCTCTCAAACCAGCCCCATTTATGTTGCAGTCCCAAGACGGCATCAGACTTGTGGACACATGCTTTCACGCAGCCTTTTCAGACTCAGAGATATTGCTGCTTCGCAGTTCAGTCAACATGTCTGACACAGCAAATGATGAAAGCGCAGCTGGCAATGGTGCAGATGGAAGACCTGATGGCGCGGCTGTGCCACTGCGCGCAGCTGTGCCAGATCAGCTGCCCGGCTTGCGTGCTGAAAGGCAGGTTTTAAAGCAGCAGCTGAAGGCCGCCACAAAGCAGATACGGAATGAGGTCAGGTGTGTGCACGTGTGCAAAAATTAGCCGTAGGTGTGACAAAGGCACCCGGTTTCATTCATGTTCGAAATTTTGCAATCAATCTTGGACTCCAGCTTGCCACCAATTAGGCTTTCATTGCAGGCAAACATGTGTTGTAATCAAAACCTGCCGCAGTCCAAAACGCGAGAATGGCATTGGTCCCTTTAATTCTATCCATCCATTACGGCAAAAGGAAAGCCGCACCTATTTTAAGCTCCATGGACTCATGAAACAGTGAGGTTTGGCCAGGCAAGCGATGCCAAGCGATACCCTTTGTCTTAATGTTTCAAACATGAATGAAGGTGAAAAATCAGGTGCCACCAGGAACGCTCCAGCGAAACCAAGCGATACTCAAAATTGGCTGTAGGAAGGGCAGCTCCAATTGAGCGGCCAGTTGTCTACATGGAAATTTGCCACAAGCCCACTTAGTGGGTCAGTTTTGGTTCCACGCAGGATATTGTAGAAGACCTTTCCATGTGCATATATGTTACACATGTGCATACGCACCGAGACGGCTGCATGCATTTACATGATGAACAAGTTTGGGTAATGGATTTTAACATCAGGTTTTGATTGTAACTCACATCTCAAGACCCTAAAATCGAAAATATGGCCGCTGGCAGATGCAGGAGCGTCGTCGGCGAAGACTCATGAAGAAAGCGGGAAGTTTGTCAGCAGCAGACTTGACCTGGCTGTTGGCTCGACGTGTTGCGCCGTGAAAGCACGCTTTCTTGCCTGTATCCCGCCAAAGGCGGAATGAATGGCAAAGGAAAAGGTTTTTCACTATGGACCGAAACGGCATGTGCAATATGAAAGCTCTTTCTGCAACAGATTGCCTTAGGCAATGTACATGTGTTGGAAAAGGCTGCGTTGCACATGCAAGGACAGGAGAGGCAAGACAGCAAGCAGTTTAGAAGGAATCGTTTTTTCCAGAGTGAGAAGAGGCAAGCTCCGCCATCTCTGTTTTCACGCTGCCTTGGAACCCAAAAGCTGCTTCCAAGTAGTCTGCCCAGGAATGATTGGTAGTCTGAGTTCCCCCAAAAAGTGTTCATCCTTTGCAGGGACATCTCACAAACAGTCAGAGGATTAGCGTTGGAGCATTCTTGCTTCCCTTGCCCTCCGCAAGCTGCTGGCAATGTGCTGCTTTATGGCTATTCAATCCTTCAGTATAGCAGACTTGGTGCGCCTCGTCAGCGCATTACTGGGAAACTATTGCTTAAAGCCATAGCTCGTCGCTGACTAGCGAAGATGGCTTGATCGATTGGGGTTCCCATGTGCACAGGTTCATCATCATGTGTCTGGCGGGTCAGCAGTGAGACAGTGAGACCTCAGCAGCCGTGTCATGAGTCCTGAGTGTTGAGGCATGGTTCTTTGGCGCAGCTGCTGGCTCATGGCGCTTACATCATCGCCACGCTGCTGGTGCCTGTGTGAAGTGAGACAGGCAGGACTGGGGGATGTATGGCCTGTCGCAATCCTTGATTCAGCCAGGGCATGATTGAAACAACCTGATTGATGAGTTTGGGTAGGAGCCTTGGTCCACAGCATTGCAAAGGTTCATCATCATGTGTATTTTCGAAGGCGAAGGGTCAGGTAAGAGTGAAAGCTCTACCGTGCCATGAGTCCTGAGTGTTTAGGCGCCGCTGCCTTGGTGCTGCGCTGCTGGCTCGTGGCGCTTACGGCTCCGCTGCTGCTGGTGCTGAAGTGAGACAGGACTGAGGGAAATATGGCCTGCAACAGTCGTTGATTCATCCAGACCTTGCTTTTTCAGCAACTTCATTGATGAGTTCGTGTATACAGCCCTGTGTCCGCAGCATGCTTCCATAGACCCCATTGTTTCTACACAGGTGGACCCCATCATGTTTCAATCAAAGGAACATAATGTTCCCGTGAAATCTTGCTGTATTCATGTGCCTTACCTGAGGGTAATGATAATGAATGATACTTTATTATAACAGTTAATGTTAATAGTTAATGGTAATAGTTGATGTCAATAGTTAATGTTAATAGTTAATGTCAATAGTTAATGTGAATTGTTAATGATATATGTTAATGATCTATATCTATATCTATATATCTTTACTCTTCTGGACTGAGGAGTGAAGAAGCCGATTTCACCCGCTTCCTGCAGACACACTTGGCGCCTTGACGCGGAGAAATTGCCCCAGAATTGGGTGAAAAGGTTCCTCCAAGACTTTGAGGTTTATGATCATGCCCAACCTTGAATAGGTCGTTTTATCCTTCATTGAATTTTTGCTATCAATGGGAAATAACATAAAAATAACCACAGCCGACATCATAATCATCTCTTTAATGCCACAAAATTGACCATGGTATTGGGTAAACACCATGCTTTTCCCCTTTTCCCCATGAACAAATTGAACCCCTTGCGTGGCTAGATCGCCCATTGTGGATATCCCCTATTTTCAGCGAAACCCATGTCGAAAAACGAGTAGAAACCTGGCTTTTCTGCACGAATTTCCCCTGAAATCATCCTAACTTTTACCACAGCTGATGCAACGAAGTCACTATATCCCCATGTGTGCCATTACCTATTGCAAAGATTCCAGTGAAATGGAATGGATGATCATAAAACATCATAAAAACAATAAAAAACATGTTCTAGTTTAGTTGATGGGATATATCAGTATTGTTAGTCGAATCCCATATGGGATATTGTTAGTGTATATGTCCCATTCTTTTCTCGTTATTGTTGGTTGAATCTCATATATCATCATATCCCCCATATATTCCCATTGCCATGTTGGCACGGATGGCAGATGCAGGTGACCTATGCGCAGAAGCGAAAAGCTTTGGAACTTCTGAAGCAGCGCATCGCGGTGCCCGAGGAAAGAGATGATGGTTAG